CCCAGTGCTGGGTAAAATAGGGACAAACCCAGCAATTGGGCTGTTTTGACCCAGCGGTTGGGTTAAATGTTTAACCCAACCTTCTGGGTAGTAACCCAACCGCTGGGTCAAAACAACCCAATTGCTGGGTTTGTCCCTATTTTACCCAGCACTGGGTTGTATTTAACCCAGCATTTTTTAGAGTGTAGGTGGAGTGGATGCTCCTTGTTCACATCTGACTTCTGTTTTCTTCTTGTAACCTTGGCCCAACCCCGCCACCTCGTCTATGCAGAGACTCAATGATTTACACCCTCTTGTAAAACTCTGGCTCAGTGCTGTGAGCCTTTAAGAGTGCAGTGTAATTATGGTTTTGGGGTTTTAGATGAGTTTGTTTCTATTTGATTTTTTTTTTTTTTTTTTTCAATTTTTTGTTATATACACACACACATGTCACACACACAAAGAGTGGTCATAGAAAAGAATCACCCCCCTTTAAATGATCACATTTTGTTACTTTGCAGCCTGAAATGAAGACGGACAAAGCTTTTGTTTTATCCAGCTGTATTTACTCAGTGCAAGTTATAACATCCAAGTGAAAGATATAACACCAGCATAATAAAAAAAAAAATAAAAAAAAACAGAATCACTGATTTGGAAAAAGGATCTTCCGCTTGTGTCAGTGTTTTGTTGAATCACTTTTGCTTTAATTACAGCCTTTAGTCTGCTGGGATTTGTCTCTGTCTCTGTCTAACTCTGCACATCTAGACTTTGCAATATCTTGTTCTTTGCACAACTGCTCAAGTTCAGTTCAATTTGATGGTGAGCGTTTGTGGACTGCAGTCTTCAAATCATTCCACAGATTTTCAGTAGGGTTTAAGTCTGAGCTCTGACTAGATCATGCAAGGACATTCACCTTTTTTTCCTTCGACCACTGTGTGCTCAGTTTTGCTGTGTGCTTTCTGTCATTGTCATGTTGGGAGGTAAACCTTCTTCCCATTGACAACTTTCTGGCAGAAGACAGCAGATTTTCCTCAAGAATTTGACGGTATTTTACCCCATCCATTTTTCCTTTTTTCCTGACAAGTGCTCCAGTCGCTGCTGCAGAGAAACACCCCATAACAGGACATTAACACATCCATGCTTTACTGGAGGAATGCTGTTATTTGGATGGTGAGCTGTGCTGGATTTCCGCCAGACAAATCGTTTGGTGTGGAGGCTAAATAATTCAATTTTAGTCTCATCTGCCTCAGAATCTTCAAGGTGTGTTTTGGGAAAGCTCAGTCGTGACTGCATGTGGCCTTTCTTGAGGAGTGGCTTTTTTCTTGCATCCCTCCCATACAAGCCACATTAGTGGAGCATTTGTGATATTGTCGTCACATGCACACAATGACCACTCTCTGTCATAAAATCCTGCAGCTGCTTCAGAGTTGGTCGCCTCTCTGACCAGTTTCCTCCTGGCTCTTTCATCCAGTTTGGAGTGACGTCCTGATCCAGGGAGGGTCTGTGTTGTACCAAATACATTTCACTTCTTAATAATAGACAACTGAGCTTCTAGGCATTGATAAAGCCTTTGGATTTTTTTTGTATGCATCTCCTAACTTGTGCCTGTCCACAACTTTATCCCGGAGATCTTTTGACAGTGCCTCGCCACCCATAGTTGATTGTTTGCTTCAGTTGCACTACTGATGACTGAAATGCTCCAGGAAAAGCTCTTTTCATGCTGAGCTGATCAAAATGAGCACAGCTGATCACAGTTGAAAGTCAAACGGCTTTGTGTGCCATTCAAAAGGTGATCAGCTACACCTGATTGAGTTTATCAGTCATTTTTAGGAGGGGGGTGATGCTTTTTCCAACTCAGTGAATGTTTTTTGTTTTGTTTTGTTCTTTCTTTTTCTGACATGTTGGTGTTTTATCTTTCACTTGGATGTTATAACTTGCAATGAGTAAATAAAGCTTGATAATTCAGGCTGCAAAGCAACAAAATGTGATGATTTTAAAGGGGGGTGATCCTTTTCTGTACCCACTGGGTGTGTGGGTGTGTGTGTGTGTGTGTGTGTGTGTGTGTGTGTGTGTGTGTGTGTGTGTGTGTGTGTGTGTATTTTTAGAGACATGTTTAGAGTTCAAATCGGAAATCAAAAATAATTATCATTTTTAATTAATAGATATTAGAGCCATGTAAATGTATTTAAGTTTTTGTTCAATATTAGATTTTTTCCACTTGACTAAAAAATTTTTATAATAATAACAAAAAATAAATACTTTTATAGTTAAGATTTTGAATTAGTTTTTCATTTTATATTTTCTGTATTTATTTTCTGTATTTTTAATTTGTTTGGTATTTTTAATGTCTATATCTTTTAATATGTCTAGTTTTTATTTATTTTCAATTCAGTTTTATTTTATTTAAAGTGAGTGTCAACATGAAAGTGCATTTGCAACATACTGTACTTAAATGTGACTCATTTCTATGTGAACCTGGATATGAGTAAAAAAAATGAGTAGGACTTGATTTTTATCTGAAGAATGAATTAGATGGTTAAAAACTGGAGCTGTACACAATAATGCAGTCAGACCTGCATGTGAGGTTAAAGAATGTAGGTCTTTATGTCATAAAGTTAATGAATCAGCCATGTGATTTTGTCCATGACGTCTGATTCTTTTTCTTTTGGTTTCTTTCAGTACGACCTTCGCCCCCTAAATGCTGGGTGGAAGGTAGTGAGGAGAAGGGCGGAACCGTTTCGCTCCGGTGCAAATCTTCCCAGGGTTCATCTCCTCTAAAATATGCATGGACAAAAGAAAGCGGAAACCTGCCACCAACCGCAACACAGAGTGAGTTCCCACCTCACAGGTCCACACAGGTCTAGTGCAACACTACTCAGCAAATATTCAAGCGAAGGTTTAATATTTGGTACCGCTTGAATAACCTGTAGCTTCAGGCCTGTGTGTTGTCAAGCCACATACAGCTGCTGTAGACGAAAACAAAAACATTTTTGGAGCCTCATAGCAACCAAACAAGTTTTTCTGTGTGCAATCTGCTGTAAACGACACTGCAGGGTCTGGGTCTTTCGCAGTGCTGCACATTCTGAATGGCTCTTTTGTTTGAAGATCCCCAGACTGGAGAGCTGCTAATCAGAAACCATAGCGAGAGCTACACAGGGAGGTACCTTTGTGAGGTCAGCAATGAAGTAGGCACTGAACGATGCACATACGCCCTTCAAGCATATAACCGTAAGTATGGGTGGATCCGGAATGTATTTGCACACCTAATGCCGAGTTCACACTGCATGATTTTAGCATGATTTTTCACTCGCCGACAGGTTTTGCGAAATCGCCGACAAATGAGCAACTGAATGCTATCCCAGATAGTCAGGCAGTGTGAAAACAACGGCGAGCCGACGAGTTTGAAAATCGTGCAGTGTGAACTCGGCATAAGCTTCACTTAACATCTGAATGTCAGTGCATCAGGCAACATGTCAAACCGAGTGGCATTTATCTGACAGAAAAACAGCACAGCACGTCTTTTTTTTTTTTGGTCTGTACCAGATATGGGTGTCATGTCATACACTATTTTTAATATGACTGAATTTGTATTTAACATGATCGCAATTTAATAAAACCAGTTATTCATTTCAACGCTTTTATTTCCAAGGTTATTCAAACAGCGAATGAATTATATACAGAAAGCGAGCGAAGAACATTTACATTATCAAAGCACGTCATCACTAACTTCAGTTTAGAGTTAAATCACGCTCAGAAAACTCTTGTTATAATCAATGAAGCTGTCTACACTATGAAACGAATTTCTTTCTTACTTGGTACGTACATTTGCTTTGTTGTTCTGTTGAGAGAATTGTACAAAACTCCGGTGTTTCAGCGAGGACTCATCTGGATGCCTCTGATTGGCTGCTGCATTCGTAAGCTAAACAGAATCGTGTGTGATTGGTCATAATGCGCAACACTGTAAAAACGACTAAAAGGAAATGTGACGCAACATGATTTAAATTTAATGCCGCAGTCAACACTTTTCATTTTATTTTTACTTTATTCACGATAGCTGTAATATATTTAGTTTAAAGTCTTTATTTTTTTCTTGACCAATTTGGTGATAAAAATTACCAAAATACCAGCTGATTTAAAGACATTGAGCAAAAATGGCTACAAATGTGATGTTGGTGAAAAGAAAAGATCCTGAGACTTTTGACACGCAGATGCTAATTGATTTGATGCCATTTAGACATTTTTATCGATTATATTTTTTTATCTATTATATAAGTGGCTTAAGTGTCCAAATAATTACATAAGTCATTTGTAAGTAAAAGTCTCTTTATGCTTATTGAACCAATGGAGAAAATCATCTTAGATCGAAAGATCCAGTCATTCTCCTGTGTATTTAGCACATTTCTGTTCAGTGTTCATACCTCATACTCTGGGTAACTGCAGTATACCTTTTTATAAAGGCCATTATGCAGTATGTGTCCTTGAATGAAATACGCAAACTCTCTCAATAGAGGATTTTGTGCCAACATATTTTTATAAACGCATTTATTCTGCAGATTATTTCATACGATTAATGATTTTGTGAAACCTCAGCTGCAATTTCAGATTAAATGTTTCTCAGGTTAAGAGTGAGCCACTTCTCTACATAATCAGCTGTCTTTTATCTGAATCTTTTATCTCTAGCAACCAATAAAGTGGGAGTGATTGTGGGAGCTGTGATTGGTGCATTGCTGTTGCTGCTCCTCCTCCTTTTGCTGATCTGGCTCCTGATTTGCTGTTGCAACAAGAGGTGCTATGAAAAAGATGTTGCCAATGAGATCAGGTGAGATATTGCTGGTTTATAGAGGCCCGGTTTCATAGACAGGGCTTAGCCTAAACCAGGATTAGGCCATAGTTCAATTAGGACATTTAAGTAATTTTTATAAACGTGCCTTAGAAAAAAACATGACTGGTGTGCATCTTGAGACAAAACAAAGGCACTGATATATTTTAAGATCACAACGCACTGGATAGATGGTCAATCAGAGCACAGCTCGCTTTTTCAGACCGATGAGCTTTGTAAAAATCGACGCATTTCAGAAAGGCGGGGCATAGAGGAGAAACAATAATGTACAGTATGTGGAAAATAATGTGTTTTTTTTAACCTTAAACTGCATAAACACATTTCATTACACCAAATACACAAAATAATGTTCGTTTTAGCAACATCATATGACCCCTTTAATTATCAAATGTAAAAATAACTTTATTTTTTTATTTTTGGAAATTGCATTCAAAGTCTTTTTGAGTATGCCAAAAGTCCCCGGATGGTCTACTATTTCAGGTTGATTTTTGAAGTGTGGATCCTTGCACACTCTAATGGCTAAAATTGCCCACAATCCATTGCGCTTTGGCGAAGGATTCGGTCCAGAACTACAAACACGAATAAAACACATGAAAGACCCGTGACTGGCAGATCAACGAGCTACTTCTTTTCTCTCCAGTACGGTAGGAAGTTAAATTAAATTAAATGTGGAGGATGTTAACTGTGACAAGATGATTGACAGGCCAGTTTACAGTGACAGGGTGCGTGTAACGGGTGCGACAGAGCGGTCCTTTAAAGACGCAATTGTGTGACATGATAGTATGTCCCAAAGCCTGCCTACTCTTCTACTACACACTCAAAAGTGTGTACTTTTTCTTCACCAAAAGAGTACATACTTTAAAGGCGTAGTATAAGTAGGCACATTGGGACGCAGCATCAAAGTGGGTGGAGCCGGCCGTCGCCATCTTGGCAGCTCCCGTATAATCGAAAATGGGCAAAGAGGCGGGAGCTGGTTGCTGAAACCACGCCCACCTAGCTAAGTGGCCACGCCCTTAATTATGCAGAACTTTAAGGCTTAATATAATTTAAACGGCTGAGTTATAAAAAAATTCACCTCCTCACAGTTGTCATGAAGGGCAAAATTAGCTATATAGACCAAAACCACTTTTTGTACCAGGCTGTAAAAAAAATTTTCTGCTGTAAAGTTGGGCATTTTAACATGGGGAGTCGATGGGACTGACTCCCTTTGGAGTCAGCCTCTAGCGGCCAGTCGATGAATTGCAGTTTTAGTCACTTCCGTGTTGGTTTCACGAGAGAGAGAGACAGGGAGGTTGCCACTTGCTACATGTTCAATAGTTTCCCTTCAGCAGTGGAAGTACATGTTTAGCTCATAGTTGAAGAATGTCTCACAATGAATCATGGGTAAATACCTGGCTGACTAATCAGCAATACTAGTTATTCATTATCCACAACCACACCCAATAATGATTCTCTCAACTGGATAAGTCCCAAATATATGTATGTGTCCTCTTTCTACTTTGGCTATAAATATATGTTTGGCTAACATCAAGTGACATATTCCTTTCCTCTACCGTATTTTAGGGAGGACGCTCCAGCTCCAGAGAGTCACCCGGGAAGCCGTAACTCCAGCTTCCGTTCTGTACTGAATTATCACGTCCATCCGGGGATCCATTACAGCTCGGTTGGCAAAGCCGATGTCACACGGGCCATATCCGGTCGCAGCAGTACCCACACTGAACGCAGCAGAGGCCAAAGGGAAGCCAGCATGCTTGCGTCTGATCACAGGCCTCCGCTCAGATATGACAGCAGATATGGATACCCCGTTTAACTACCGATGTCCTGCCAGGGGACACAGCACTGAAAAGATTAAACTCACTCATAAGATGCAATACTGTGCAAGACCATGGCAAGATTGGAGGACATTAAAACTGCACAGAAGAATATTCACATTTGTGAATATTCCTAAAGTTCAGGATAGAGATCTGCTAATATATGTGTATAGTTGTGTTGATGTATTTTTGTATGATTGTTTTATAAACATTTAGGTGAAATGTGGTCATGGTAATTTGAATATATTAAACTAACAAGCTATTTATATATTAAATATATTAAACTAACAAGTTTTATTTATATAAACTATTTTAACTTCTTTATAACAATAAATTCAGTCTTTTAAGATTGATAGTAAGAGATTTAACGTCATCTGAGTGGTTGTCTACAAGGGTGATTATAAAAAAAAATCTAATTCTATTAAAACAAATTTATTTGAATTTAAATTTAAAAAATGCTCAAAATTAGATTACTCAAAATAATAATAATAACTGAATTATTCATGCCACCAAACCCATATGCAAATTTTGTAATAAGAGATGTTCCTATCATCAGAGCAGTTTCAAGGACCTGATTGCACAGGACAACGTTTCAAAGCATCTTTGCAGGAAAACATTGCAATAATAATGCCTCAAATTCCATAAGGTCCTCATTTGAAAGTTCAATTAAAAGAAAATTATGCCTATTTTTCTGTAAACCCCAGTGAGCAAGCCAACGGCAGGAAACGTAAAACTTCACAAGGTGTCAAGAGTAGAGAAAAAGCAAAAACCCTGGGAGAAACCTCAACTTTCCTGTCGGTTCTCTACCATCCTAAAACCTCCTTTAAAAAATCCTTAAAAACAGTTACTGTGGTATAGACACTGAAAAGCAGCAAGAGGCCTAAGTTTATGTTTAAACTATTTAAAAAAAAAAAAATGCAAACAGATTGTCTTGTGTGAACGCCCCCTAAAGGCTGAAATACAACTTTTAAAATCTGAACAAAGTTTTAAATACTAGGCATCATACTTTCGCCGAGTTTGTAAATGGTTACAGAGAAAAACTGGAACAACTGAGGGGTACCTTTACACGACAACAATTGTAAACAATGCAGAGGTTTTTCCTTTGGGTTTTTGTAAAGTTTCGCATACATACGACAATGATCTCAAAACAATCCCAGTTCACACGAATCCACAGAAATGACTAAAAACACTATTATTCATGCCAGGCCAGTAGTTGGCGATGTCACTTTTTAAAGAAACACTACACACCAGCGCACATACACATTTAAGGGGTTAAGTACATACTCACGAATGCCTATAGACTGAACACGTAATACGCATGCGTGTGACATTGGTGTTATCTCAAATTTGCGTTTTTGTAGTTTACACAAAGACGATAACTGTTTCAGAAACTTCCACATTGAAAACTGTTTTCAAAGGTTTGCTTTTTCAGGCCCCCAAAACTTCATTACTGTTTAAATGATTGGTCAAAACGCATAAAAAGTTTTCAGTTTTTAGTTGAAAACAGTGTCTTATAAACACCCGCTGAGAGTAACACATTGCCAGACTTTCAAGTTGCTCCGACCAAACTTATGTTGCTAGGAGACAAATCATAGCATAACAAATCAAAACAGCACGCATTCTAAAATAATAAGTTTACCTCAGATTTACAAAACGTGATTGTAAAATGAATTGCTGTTGACTGTATGCCAGTGACGGACTTCTGTTCACTTTTAATGTATATTCCAATTCCAAATTCCTGCAATAATTTCATCTGCTGCAATAATGTCTTTGATTTGTTAAAGGGGTCATAGGATGCCCATTTTCCACAAGTTGATATGATTCTTTAGGGTCTTAATGAAAAGTCTGTAACATAGTTTGGTTAAAATTTCTCAATGGTAGTGTAAAAAACACCTTTTTTACCGTCAAAAACAGCTCTTTTCAGAGCAAGCAGATTTGTAGCATTTTCCTTTAAATGTTAATGAGCTCTGCTGACCCCGCCCCTCTCTTCCGAGCCTGGGTGGATTTTTATCATTATAGGGTGGTTGTGTACACACACTGCCAACACACATTTCAGTTCAAACAACTTGTAAATGTGTATGTAGCATTATATGACCCCTTTAAATATTTAAACGTGTTTTCCATCATTAATATAGTGACTGAAATTTAATCAAGGGAAACAGGCACATTTTCATTCTCCAGAGTGTTAATTTTGTGTAACTGATATACTAATTAGTCTTTGATAATATATTGAATTTGATTTTATTTTTATATGTTGTTTTGACTTCAATTGTATTAATTTTTTTTGTTTTGTCATTTTTACGTTTAAAAAAAAATAGTATTTTAAATATAGTTTTTACTAATTTGTATTTATTATTATAGTTTTATATATTTATATAGTTTATTTAGATTTACTTAAAGTTAAATGAAATGAAAATTAGAAATGTTGCCTTGGCAGCTAGCTGAAATAACTTTTATATAAGTAACTTTTATATGTAGATTAAGATTTAATTAACAATAATAATCCAGCTGCATGGTGGTGGTTGCATTCGCAAAGGCCTCTGTTTCTAATATGTTGTTTTCTGTTGCTCGCTAACTGTTTTTCCCTTGCGATGCACCTGCATTGACAAGCATTCAGTTCAACTCAGCAGTGTGATTTGGAGATGATGGGAAGGAAATTGTTTGCTCTGTTTGATTTGCATCTGCCTCTAATAGGCAGGTCAATCAATGCATTGCAGTGATAGTTTTGTGCAAGAGCGCCCCCAGCTGCAGTGTCACTAGCCCTCCTGGTGGCTGTTCAGCTCCAGTCAATTTTTTCTTTTCTACTTTTCTCACAGCGTTGTTTGACTAAAAACCTCTGATTATGGGGAAATGGTTCTGAATGGTATCTAAGAGATGGAAAATCAGAAGTGTGTGGGAGAACGACATGAAAAGATGTTTGTGAAATGAAATTAGCGCATTTACACGGCGTGTTTCAGGCACACATACACAGTGTTATTCTCTTTGTGAAAGACTGAACGCAGATGAATTCACATTTAATTGCACAAAGCGAAGACGATTGTCCTTGCCATGGTTCATTAGACACGAAAAATCAATATTTTGATGCAAAGAACACAATGTTTTGAAAGAGTACAGTTATTTTCCTTGCAACCCATCATTTTTACACCAGCTTAATTTTCTGAAATAAACACAAGAGCAAAATCATAGCATTCTGGGTGGTTGCCAAGACGGTTATGCAGTTGCTAAGGAGTTTTGAGTCTAATAGCATATTGCTAAGTGGTTGCTAGGAAGTTATTTTAAAGAGTCCATCTTCATGCCTCATATTCAGGTCTCTTCAATGTACATCTGATGTTTTTTTTTTTGTTTTTTTGCCCGCCAGTAAAAAAAAAAATGGTGCGTGATTGCTTTAAAAATAACAGCACGCAATATGTGTCATTCACAAAAGGTGAGAGATGAGCTACTAAATTGTGTGTTGGCTGTGCAATGATTCACTGAGACAATTTCTAGAATTTGTATCTGATTTCAATCCAGCAGAATCACTTAAGTGCATTTAGTAAAGCGTGACTGTATCCAATAAGGATATCCAATACATTTTTTTTTTAAGTAATGGTTTCTTAACAGAAATGGTGTTTTTGTGAGATAATTTCTGCTGTGATAGATCAGGTTTTATCTGCTCATCTGTTGTTTCATGGCTTCCTGTTCCTGTAGCATTTGAACTCTATAACTATGCTCGTGTTGTTATTAAATAAATATTATGGCTTGATTATTTACACAATGGTAGAAAAATTAACAGGATGATTCTGAGGGCTGACAGTGGATATCAACTTGATATTTTGATATTATCATAATGATTTCTATTGTTTTAGCTTTTTTAAAGTGACACAAACTGCCCCAAATTCTACAGAATTCATCGAATCCATGCTAATATTTGCTGATTTTTGTGCTGTGGCTGATTGTCCCTCTGAAATGATGTCACTTCCTGAAAGATGATGTCAGTAAGACAATTTTACAAAGAAAACCTATAAATGACATAAACAAATGTTTGGAGCAGAGAGAGAAAATGATCAAACTGAAATATTTCCTAATAAATAGCCTGTTTTCATGTTAGAAATGAACACCCACACACGTGAAATGACTTTAAATCCTTAGTTTAAAGTGAAATTATAATTAAAGAAAACTAATTCATATGACTCCATCTTTTAAAAATAGTCAGTTTCATAGTTTATCCAGTGTATCAGGATATGCTATGATGAGGACATGAAAATGTACCATTAATCTTATTCAAAAGGAACTCTAGTTGTGTGTTTGACCAGTTAAATCACTTTTGTATCAGTCTAACAGCTTTCATAGTTTATGAGAGGTTTGGATTCACAAACAGAATACTGTAGGTTCTCCTGATTATCCGAGGCTTTAATCCGTCAGATCTGTGGGTAAAATGTCAGGGTCATCTAAGTATTCTCTCTATCAGAGGAAACCGACTGCTGGGTTACTAAGGAAACGGGAAGACGTTTGGCTCAAGGCAAGGACCGCTGGCAGTGTTTGAATGGTTTCAGCAATATTAACAGAGAGCACCGAAGTTCGTCAAGAGCAACGTGCTTACTTTGGCCGCGTTATCTGCTGCATGTTAAACAGCCAGATTCCAATTAAGGCGCATGGTGCACGTGAATGTCAGGCGAGCTATATTTGTCTTGTGAATGAGGTGCGAGTCTTTCTCAGGACTCCATCTTCTCGTTGTGTTTCGTTGGTATGTGTGCTAGTCAACTGAAACCTCTGGACATCCAGGATGCATTAGCACTGGAAGGACGGATGCTGGCAAAGCACTTTGACCACCACAAAATTTGGCTTCGATTTACATTGGGCACATTTGAATAATTATACAATATGATTTCATGATGAGAACAGCAGGTTTAAGCAGATGCCGTTCAGCATATGGCATAGAAACAACGATTAATACATATTTTAAAAAGTTTCTTTCCTTCCAATCTTGAATTTGCTTACAGCCTTGCTAAAAATGCATTTAAAAAGCTCAGCCTCTAATTAGTTTTTTATCTATCTATCTTTATCTTTTATCTCTCAAATATTTAACACAATCACTGTTTTTGATGTGAAAGAGGCAGATTTCTTATATTATTCCTCTCTCAGCCATATACTAAACTATGGCCTTTAATATCCATACAGCAATATATATATATATATATATAATATAAACAATAAATAAATATGAATAATAAATAATGCTTTTAAAATATATATTTGTTAAAAATGTTTATCATTA